CATTGGCAGCCACTGAACTAGGCTTGATCTTGACTTTTCAGTGGAAGTCATAGAGGCTAAGAATCCCCTTAATAGCAGATGTTCAACACTTGTCAATGACAAACAGAAAAGAAGTGTTTTTTAATAACACAAACAGTACTCAGAGCACAGCTCGTGCAACCATCTGGTCTTACAGAAGGGCCTGAGGTTCAGAGAGGACAAGTGGCTCATGGAAAGGAAGCTGAATCTAAGACCTGCTCGAGAGGCTGGGCCCAGAGGGTCTCCCACGGAGATCCACTAGCTTCCAGAATCTGAGGGATCGGGACATCGAGCCCCTCCATGACTGAACTTGTGCCAACACTGGAGACGGGCTCACTTCCTCCCTTCTGCTTCCATGTGGTTCTGGACACGGGCTCATGCTTGCACCGCTGAGAGGCTCTCAGAACTGCCGGTGCCGCCTCCGCCACCCCCCAGCCCCTCTTCTGTCTTGTCAGCCCCGCACGTGTGTTACAAGCCCCCGTGCAAGTGCGATGGGCCAGAGGAGAACGGCAGGGGCCCGAACGTGAAGGCTTTGGATTTTTCCTTCTGGGGCTGGGAGTCCGTGAAGACAGTAGTTGACAGACATGTTTGTTATCCCAAAGGCCAAGGATGGAGAGGATGTGGGAAACAGTCAGAACAGGGACGGTGGGCACCGGCCGTCGCAGAGTGACCCCACAGCGCGGCCTGTCTGGTGCTGCCCACTTGGCATGTCTCCTCCAGCAGACGGTCAGCTCCTCCCTGGTCGAACAGGGTCTGGGGGCACGGTTCAGAACTCCTGTCGTGCTTAACATACGTTTTATTCAAAGGAAGATCAGAAGATCTGAGACAGTGGAAGGCTCTGGGGCCAAGAGGCCTTTGAATAATTCGTGTCGATCCCTCTCTGCCTCCGTCCCTCCACATGGGGCAGAGGCTGCCCGAGTCCCACGTAATGCTATCAGCACAGGAGGGTTCCAGCCAAGGGACCACAGGACACGGCCAGGGCCTTTCACTAATCCGATTGGACGCGCAGTCTCCCCTGGCGATGTGACCCAGGCCGGCACTTGGACACACGGAGGCGCTTCGAGCTGCACCTGTGACCTGACTGCATCTGGAGGGGCCACGGGGAGGCAGGGGGAGACGAGGCTGCAGGGACTTCTGGCCACTAATTCCGACACTGACACTCCTGGGAAAATCCCTGCCGCTTGCTTGAAACAAGCTTCGAGTGGATGTCACGCTGGCAGTACCCAGATTTAAAATGAGCCTTAACGTGCCTGCGTCAGAGGCGGCTTCCACTGCGGAGCCCAATCAGGAGACAGAATACTCCAGCGACATTTGCTGACAAAGTAATCCGGAGGGTAAAACTCTTGTCGGCGGAATCACGGTTGTCGGTGTCACGGAAGCTTCCGTTCAGCACCTCTCCTCAGGCTCCAGGTTTCTCATTTAGAATTTACAGCTCTCGAATTTATGCAATATCTTTTCTCCAAACCCCAGGAGCTCTTATATTTTGGCCGGATACAGCACTGTGGGGCGGGGAGCCCTCGTTCGCCTGCTCTGTGACCCCGGGCAAGTTACGTAGCCTCTCTGAGCCTCGGTTCTCTCACAAAATGAGGGAAATAAGGCCCGTCTGGAAAGACTGTCAAGACGTTTAAAATAAATAAAACGTGTGAATCCACTTTTACTTCCGTTCTCCTTCCCAAACCCAAATGACTATAGGGACATTGCTGCTGAAACTTCTCAATGCCAACGGGGTCATTGAGGTTGATGTCAGCAGGAGAAGACTGTCCCTCGGTCCCCATCCCCTACACCTGGCTCAGTGATTCTCAACTGGGGGTACTGGAGACATTTTCGATTGTCACAACTTGCCAGGGATGGGGGAGGGGGCAGGTACTATAAGACTCTAATTGGCAGAGTCTAGAGATTGTGCTAAACGCGTTACAAAGGACAGGACAGGCCCCTCGCTCCCCAACAAAGGATTATCTGGCCCTAACTGTCAATCATGCCAAGGCTGAGAGACCCAGCCCAGAGGAGGGTGTGCGCTCTTACCGAGTCCTTGGAAGGTTCCTCGTACGTCCTCCCTTCTCATAAAGGAGGTTTGAAAGAGGGTCTGGGGAACCCCAAACGGGGGTGCTCTGACTCCTGGCTGTCAGGGGACAGCTCTCAGTTCCATGTGGCCTGGCGTGGCTTCAAGCTGGGCTGTCGACGTTTCTCTGACATCCTGCAGCACCTGTTTTTTTCTTTCCTTGGGGTATTGCCTTCAAGTTCTCCCCGCTGGGTAACGGGATGTACTTGTTTGTCATCCTTCTCACCTCCGACATGGACCCCGAGAAATGTACTTGTGGAGGTGTCCTGGCGTGCGCCGTTGAAGGTGCCCAGGCCGGCCAGGGACTTTTCCAGAGTCAGGAAGAGGGGCCACATGGAATAAGATGCCAAGCACCGTAAGGAGAGAAACAGAATCACTGGCCGAGACCCCCAAAGAAACCTGGCTAAGCTGAGGGCAGATTCATATGAAAAGACATTTTCCCGGGCTGGTCCCATGCAGTTGGTGATAAAAATACATATCATATACAGTATATTCTCAATTATATAATATCTAGGCATCTATCTATTATCTATCTATCTATCTATCTATCTATCATCTATCACCTACCTACCTATCTAGTAAATGGAGAAATGACTAGAAGGAGAAGATATTAAAATATTAATGATGATTATCTTAATTAGAAGTCATTTTCTTCCTGTGCACATGCTTCTGAATTTTCCAAACTCTCTATGAGCATTTTATAAATTGAAGAACAAAACAGAGCCCATTATTTAAAGAAGAATCGAAAGGGCCACCCCAGCACGTCCGCCGGGACCGTCTACCTGAGGATTTCTCCTCTGTGCAGCTCAAATGGGATGTTGGCCGCTGCTGCTTGGGGACAAGCTGCCGCCCAGCTGCCCGGCTGAGAGATGTGTCTGGGGACCGGCTCCTTCAATCACGACTTGGTTTGGAGACGGAGGAGTTCTCGGTTGCTTACAGATGTTGAAATGCCATGGGCCCAACAATACTGCACTCGGGACCATTCGCTCTCCTCCCTGCACTCACTGCAGGGAATAGCTCCAGGGGCAGAAGGGAAGACAGACCGAGCCCTGCTCTCCGCGGGGGCAGCCAGCCCTGGGCACCTGCTCTTGGACCCCGCGTGCAGCTGGCAAGTGCGCGTGCGCAGCAGCCCCGCACCCCAGCGGCTCCGCGGCTGGCCTGGCTCCTCCCCGGGGCTCGGCATCCTGCGGGGACAGCCTATCGCTCTTTTCCCAGCGCGCACAGCAGAACAAAAGCCAGTCCCGAGAAGGAACGGCCTGGCTGGTCAAAGGGCCGCTGGTCTGGAAGGGGGTGCTGAGAAGCTTTGACAGGCAAGACCATGGCTGCACCTCACACAGGGGGGTCCGTGGCCCCCACTGTGGGGGATGGAGGGCTCTCTGCACTCGGAGCACCTCACAAGTTCTGGGCACGTGCTTCAGAATCTAACCTTCTCAAAGAGCTTTCCGGGCAGCTTTGGAGGACCACGATGACCCCCCCAAAATGAGGAGGTGGCCTCGTTTGTGGAGCAAGTATAAAGAGCAGAGGTAGACCAGGACGAGAAAAGTTGGTGGAATCCAGGATCAATAAATCAGGTTGTGGGACATGTTGAGAGCAGAGTTCTCTTACATCTGATGAGAAGGCCTTGCAGATCCCGGGTGGAAAAACTACATGGACTGATACAGCCGTGCGACTTGCTCAGGGGTGAGGCTGAGCAGGTGAGGCGTGGGCGCCAGGACCCCGGCAGGGGCTGCAGGACCCCGAGCAGGCTGGGGTACAGTGCACAGCTCATAGGGCTCACAAAGAAGCATATTTTGGGGGACAGTGGAACGAACTAGTAAAATGTGATGGCGTGCTTCCCCAATCCAAGAGAGCGGTGTCGAGTCCCAAACCTGGATCATCAGATGGCTGGCATAAGGATCAGAAGGTGAAGGGCCACCACTAACCATCCCTTGAAGTCGCTATCGCATGTGGAGTCAGAGAAAGGCCTACATGGACCCAGTTCAACCCCTGCCTTACTGTGTGACCCTGGGGAGTAACCTGAGTTCTCTGAGCTTTGAACTTCTCATCTGTCCAATGGGTAGAATGGCCAGCCTCCTGGAGAGGGAACTGATGCAATGCAATGGGGACATTCAGCTCAGTGCCCACCATCGGGTGGACAGGAAGTGGCAGCCCGAACCACACAGGCCCCGCACTCCTGGTGCCAGGCAGAGCCGGTCACAGAGGACCCCATCTTTGCCGGCGCTCCGTGGAAACCCTTAGCTCCCGGACTTGCTCCCACCTCGCCTGCCAGGTCTGCCTGACGGCTGCACGTTGACTCAGTTTCCATGTCTGGCTCTGCTCCTGCAGGGTGGACCACTGATCCTGGTTCCCCAGGTAACGCCCAGGGCCTGACCCAGTGTTCAGCATCCAGCGCTACCACAGGGAGAGGGAGGGTAAGGACCACTGCGGTCAGGAGGCAGCCGTGTAAAATGAACAGGTCATATTTTTACACAGCGGGTCTGGTTTTCTCCATGACTTGAGATAGTCTTAGAAGGAACATCATCCACCGACGCTCCAGGCCTGTGGTGACCGAGAAATGCTCCTGAGTCCCCGAGGCACGTGAGCCCCGCACCCCCCGATTCTGCGGGTCTGGGGTGAAGCCAAAGGTGCTGCATTTCTCACAGGCTCCCAGGGGACCCTGACAACAGAACAGCAAGAACTGACGTCAGCACATCAACACACCAGCTCCCCAACTCATCACAATTAATTTTATTCCACAGCACGTTGAAGGGAATGTTATTCTCAGGAAGATGTCTAGGATTAAAATAATTAAAAAAACTGGAAAGTACACACATTTATGTATCTCTTCTTTTCATTAAATATATATCTGTTTGGCAAAAAATGTTAGACTCTTTTGTACAAAAACAAAGCAAAAAAAAAAGAAAAAGAAAGAAACAAACCCAAAACCAAAACCAAACCAATCAACCCTAAACCCTTGCAAATTGTCAACACCTGTAATAACTGCAGTGATGTAAACTTGGATGTCTGACACCTTGACCTCCTGTGGAGCCTGTGTTGCAGCAGATCCGCCCACCCCCACCCCCAGGAGAAGGTAACACAGACCCTCGGAGAGCAAGCCGCCTGTCGCAGAGGCCTGTGGGTCCTGGATGGCACAGATGGAGTGTGACTCACTTTACCCTTTGTGCTTTCAGCGGAGGGGCTGGGAGAGTGGGTGGATGTGGAGAAGGCAGGTGCGGGCTGGGGCAGGGGGTGGAAACCCAAGACTAGCTGGTGAGGAAGAGGCTGGTCAAGGTCACAGTGCAGACGTGAAGTGGGCATGGGACCTGGGGACTGTGTCTGGGGACCCAAGGCTGCTGAGAACGAGGATGAGGCGGCAGCTGCTGCTCTTGGGACCGGAAAGGACCAGGGCAAGGCCACGGCCAAGGCTGGGGTGGAGGAGGCAGAGCATTTGAAAGCAGATTTCAGCTCACGTGGACCTGGTGGCGTGAGCTGACTCTGGAGACAAGGGGAACGAGGAGGCGGTGTGGGGTCTTCTCTAGTAGCTGGGCTCTTTCTTCCAGACACAAGCCTGGTGTGGGGCCCTCCCTGGGTCTGCAGGCTGCTGGGGGACAGTCTGGAGCTGCTGGGGATCTGGATGGGGGCCCTTTGGCGCTCTTACTGGGGGAGGGTTTTGCTCATGTCCCACCAGGAGACGGCAGCAAGGGGAGCTGACCTAGAGCAGTGGCGTCTGGGAACAGAATCAGGGCAGGGAGCGAGATGCCGGGCAGGGAGCGAGATGCCAGGCATGGAGCGAGATGCCGGGCAGGGGCAGAACAATGGCGGGGCTAGAGGCAGGGCTGAAGGGAGTGTGGGCACAGCTGCCCTTTGCCACAAGAGGGTGCCAAGGCGTGGGCGTGTTCTCCTTCTTCTCTCCGGAGCCAGATCTCCCAGTTTGGGCGGGGCTGCTTCTGGGCCAGCCACTTCAGTTACAGTCGTAGACAAAGTCATAGTTGCTGGGCTCCTTGGGGATGGGCGGGGGGGCGTCGGGGATCTGAATGTTCTCCAGGTCCAGCAGGCGGAGCTTGATCTCCATGCTGAGCAGGGTGTCCAGGTCGTTGCGCGTCAGCTCGCTCAGCATGTCCTTCCCCAGCAGTGCGTTCAGCCCGTCGGTCCAGATGCAGTACTGGTGGAACAGGAGCGACAGTGACCACGGATGACACTTTCAAGAGCAGTCACCACAGCTAACGCTGATACTCAAGGTGTGCTAGACTCTGCGCTAAGCGCTCTGCCCACATCACTCTTGGTGACGTTTGCGCCACCTCCATCAAGTCGGCACCCCCGTTGGCATCTCTGCTCAAGGAGCGCTAAGGCAGACTTGGTGGTATGTGGAGGGGTGGGATTTGAACACCAGGGCCTGTGAGGCCTTCTGTGAGGCCTTCTTCTTTCCTGACTCCAGGCCTGGTTCCTGGTCTGGGAGCCAACCTCTGCCGGCCCTCTCTGATTCCTGGCCCGCACGAGGACAGCCCCCCGCCACCCAGGGATCGATGGCAGCCTTGCCTCTGTATTTCTTAGCAAAAGGGCTGGGGGACAGCCTTCTGCTGCCCACTGTCTGGTGGACAAAATGGCTGAAACTACTGGGTGATCTCAGTGGGTGGTGGATTGGCTGCCCGTCTGGGGACCTCTTCTGCCTGGATCTTCAGCCCCCAGGGTTTCTCTCCTCTGGGTCTTTGAGGCATGGTCCCTGGGGACATCACCTCTTTTAGAAAGCCCTTCAGAGACCCCCAACTAAGAATCTGGTTACTCCCCTCATAAAACTAATCGTGTCCTTTGCCTCTTGAGTAGACTGCGAACTCTTTGAGGAAAGGCACCATGCCTGGCTTCTCTGAGGACCTCAGCTTCCCTCCCAGCGGCTGGAGTCCTGCCGCGACCTGGTTTCGGGGCTGTGACACGTGGGGAGAAGGTCAGCCTCTGCTGCTGGCATCTCCCTGGCGTCTCCAACAACCCCCTGCACGCAGGGTGCCATGCTCTGCTCACGTGTTAGGGCGTGCATGTCCCACAGGACTCTGCGGTAGTGACTGCTCCTCCCTCCGTGTCGAACTGGTCCTCCCTCTCGCATGTGCTTGAGATCCCCCCTTCTCTGGCCTGCACTGGCTCAAGTTGCAATTCCAGGCCCCAGTCAGCCTGTTCTTGGCACTGTGACCACCAGAATACGTAGCAGATCTCAACATACAACTACAAGACGGCAAGCACCGCACAAATCTTAGGCCACAGGAATGGGACAGAACCCTACCAGGATGCATAGTGGTGGCACCCCTGTTTCAGCAAGGAGGTGTGCTGTGGGTGTTCTGAGGCCCACGTCTGACGGGTGCAGCCTTGAACTTCAGAGCTGTGGTCTGTCTTAGCTCCGTGAGCTCAGCCAAAGGGGCCATTTAACATGAGCTGAGTGCTGAGGGCTTTCTGGCAGTGACAGTGTGCTCAGGAACACCTTATATGGGTTCTGAACACATTCATTTCTTCATAAATAACTTCGATAAAACAATAAAACCAATCCCTAGGTGCTGCCCTGGCGATCCTTATGTTGCAGATCTCGGGCGAGGAGACTTGGTTTAGAAAAGCTCCCAGGCATTTCAGATGTGCCTACAGAACCTCGGGACTCTGCTCCCGAGGCCCTTTCTGGGCCTGGCAGGGATCCACCGTGACTCCCTAGATCCTGGGACGTGCCCTCGCTCGCAGCCCTCCCACCTGGCGAGATTCCCAACACCGATGGGTCGAACGCCCGGACGGCACTGAACACTCGACTTAAGAAGTACATCGACCAACAGATAAAAGCTCTGTCCTGCTGAATCTGAGTTGGAAGTATCAGTATAAACTTAAGGTGTATTTCCGTCTTTCTAAAGAATCATAACTCCCAGCTCTGTCCACAAAAAAGGCCTAAAACTAATGACCGACCAACTAGTAATTAGCACCCCTAATGCCCAGATTCTGGTGGCTAAGTACCATTTCCTACTGTAAGGAGCCGAGGCTCTGTAAAGAAAAGGCAGGATGAGCCTGAAATACTGTGTTGTAACAGGATGACTCAGAATTATCAAAGACATTGGATCTCATCAATAGCACTCAGGAGTCAACCGAAAGGTGTTCCTACTCTCTCTAGATAGAATAATTCAGACACTGACAATGACAATAGCGGCAACTTACATTTAAATGTAAAAATGTGTTTACATCCACAACTGTGTAATGACACTCAGACACCCCGAACACCTCACCCGTCTCCTCCGGAAGATGCTCATTATTTTGAAGGCAGAAGGAAGTGAGTATTTATCTTGCCTGTCACATGTAGATTGTGAAACCTCGGGGTAACCAAATAGTTGCTAAAGCCAGTTCCTCTGTATAGAAACATCCCACTTAAAATGACGAAGGAATGACAGAATTAGGATATCAACCTTTTGCACCCTCCAGTGGACCCAGGGCCTAGGCGATCATCATCATCAACAGCTGCTAACATCCCCAAAACAGAGATGACCGGCCACCACGGAAGCATGGAGCACAAGTGCTGCTCAAAGCTGAGCCTGGATGTGATTCACTGCCTCACTAAGACTTTTCGGGAAACACAGAAGACAGATGAACACGTGAAGTGACACGGCAGGTTACAGGAGGGAGAATAACACCCTCCTTTCAAAGAGAACCTGGTCCTAACTCTAGAACCCATGAGTATGTTGGGTCACATGGCCAAGGGAATGGAGGTTTCCAGGGAGCTCACCTTAAAACAGGGAGATTGTCTGGGCCTGCCCCTGCGCCCCAATATAATCACTAGGGCCCTGAGAAGCGGCCGAGGGAAACAACAGGAGAGAGAGACAGAGGGAGCCCTGGCTACGGGAGGAGGTGGGAGGAGTCACCCCGACATTGCCAGAGGCCAGGGAGCTCAGGCGGCCTCGAGGGGTGGAAAGGGGAGGACGTGGCTGTGCCCCGAGCGCCTCCAGGAAGGGATTCGGCTCTGTGGGTACCTGGGCTTTAGCCAAGAAAGACCTTCATCAGACTTCTGGCCTGCAGCGTTGTAACATAATCAGCTCGTGTGTTTTGAAACCTCGGTGTTTGCGGCAATTTGGCGCCGCAGCCACAGTAAATTAACACACAGAAGTGCGATAAACGAAATCTAGATTGTTGGCAATGTTACCAGATGACAGATGACCTGTTAAGTAAATTTCAAAGAAATTTTTAAAAGAAGAAGCACGTGACACGCTCACAAGGAAGCAGGAGGGGCAGAGGGGAGAGGGAAGCTGTGGATTCCGGGAAATTCAGAAACTCGCTCACCAGTTGCCAGGCGCGGACATTACTTAGATTCTGATCGGGTACAGAAGACAGATGCCCGCGCGACAAGTGGAGACATCCGGAAACTGACCGCATGGGTGGTGTTAAAACACACGGCACACGGCAAGCGTGTTCAGGCTGACTACTGGGGGCAGCTCGCAGGAGAGGCAAGGAGCAGCAGCCAGGGTCCCGAGGCTCCGCCTTGTCGCTTAGACCCTCCTGAAGTCTCAAACGTCACCTCACCTCCAACAGTGCTCCTGAAGCACGGGCAATGGGGAACCCAGTCTGCACACTCCAGGGGCAAGTGCACAGACCCTTACCCTTCTGGCCACCCTCTGTCCTGAAGACCCAGAGACACAGGAAAAAGTCAGAGGGACTGCGCCCCGCTCGCTGGCCCCTCGGAGGGACTGCGCCCCTCTCGCTGGCCCCTCGGAGGGACTGCGCCCCTCTCGCTGGCCCCTCGGAGGGACTGCGCCCCGCTCGCTGGCCCCTCGGAGGGACTGCGCCCCGCTCGCTGGCCCCTCGGAGGGACTGCGCCCCGCTCGCTGGCCCCTCGGAGGGACTGCGCCCTGCTCAGGTCCCAGGACATGTCCTTGCAGCTGTCAGTGAGTACGGGGGGCGATGGACCGATGGTAGAGCACTAGTTTGGACGCCAGCAACCAGGCTCTCGAGTCCTGAGGAAGCAGAGGACGGAGGAGGAGGAGGAGGCCGGTGCCAGTCCGGAGGGTGTGGACGGCAGGAAGGGCGTGGGAGAGAGGACCTGGTGGGCAGTGGCAGGGAGGTGCCCAGTGGGCTTCCCAGGAGCCCCGGTCCAGCCGCAGCAGCAGGCGGCGGCCCCTCCGAGGCCACACTGGCCCGTCCTGCTCTGAGCAGGTCCGCGGACCGACAGGACCTGGGAGCCGCCTGGGAGGACAGGACTCCTGTGAGGGCAGCAGGGGTGCCTGCCCCTGGCTCCGCATTTCTCCTAGCGACTTCGCCTTCCACAGCGGAGCCTGACAAGCCTGCCACACATCTGCGCCTCCCCTGCTCCAGCCGGGGGACCGAGGGAGCCCTCGGGGAGCCCCCGCATGCTGGCCTTCTGGGGCAGAGTGCTGTCTGCAGAGCTGTGTCTCTACTGGATCTGCAGTCTCGAGGGACAGACAGCCTGGGATGCTGTGGGCACATCTGAGCACATTGAAAGGAGTGGCCTGTCCCCCAGAGCGACAGTGTCAGCTCCTGGGGCCACAGCGGCACGGCTGGCTCTTTCAGAGAGGGGTTCCTGTCCCGAAACCCCCGTCCCTGGCTGTCCCGACTCCCCAAAGCCTTGCTTCCTTCTGCACTGTTAGCAGCGCCTCAGCCGACAGCTGCTATTTGCAGAACAATTTCCCTGTTTGCTAATCTGGTGACTTGCCGGTGAGCCTGGGACAGCGGAGGAACACTTCGACCTGGAGCATGAAAGAGGTACACCTGGGGTAATGAACTAATACAATGTTTTGTTGTTGTTTTCTGTACAAAAAAACCTTACACAATTGGGTGTGATAACGGCACTGTAGTTAGGTGTCAAAATGAACTGTCTATTATTTAGGGACGCACAGGAATATGTATAAATCAAACGGTATGCATTTGGATGGGCTTTGCAAATAATCGGGGGTGGCTGTTGGTGTGGGCAGTACCCATGGAACCCGACTGGCCATGAGTTGATAATTGCTGAAGCTGGGGGACGGGCACAGGCAGGAAGTTTCTTTCTCTCGTCCTAGTGACACACTGCAGGAGCCAGGTTCGAATCCCAGCTCTATCACTTCCTGCTTGCTTGACCTTGGACAGTGTCTTAACCTCTCTGTGCCCCATTTCCCTCCTCAGTCAAATGGGGGGTGATGTTAGTTTGTTCTTTTGGCGTTCTAGGTGGGAATTAAGTGAGGGGAAGTGCGAAAGGCATCAAACAGTTATAGTGACGATCATCTCGCCTATTGAGAGGTACTCCATTCAGGGGAGCGACTCCTCTGACACACGAGGGGACCTGTAAGGACTTCCTGTTCCACGCAGTGCCGATGCCAGAACGAGGTAACAGATGTGCAAGTGGCCTGCAGAAATGAGGAGTGCTCACAACCATTTTTCTCCTCACGGCATCCAAGTGGCAGAGAGAAACGCAACCCTGGCAGCCCAGGACACTTGTCACCTGGACCAAGTGGCCATCGGGGGCACAGCCTCGCGTCCCTGAAACAACGTCGCTGTTCTCCTGTCTCAGCTCCTGTGCAGCTGTGTGCATCTGGAACAGAGCAGCCTCTGTGCAACCCCAGTTTCATTTCAAAAGAGAACCAGTAGGACACAGAATCTATTTTCAGGAAGATGAAGACAAAGTCGCACCCGTCTGCAAACTAAATGTCAAGCAACATGCGAGGGCATTTAAGCACCGTTCTACATGCAGGATTTGCCTCTAATCTTGCCTCTCTCTTTGGGATGCACAGTTTTATTCAAAGGTTTCAAACCAGTGAAAGCCAGATACTGAATAACTTCTAAATGAGCTAAGTCGCCCAGGGGAAATGGGCAACAAAAGTAGAATTTTATTAAAACGTTCCCTTCCTATCTGAGAGCTGTTTTTGCAACGACACACAAAACAAAAATTTGAATGGTACCATCTAAAAATAAGAGTTTCCAGCATGATTTTGGATTCTCATTTACAAGAGAAAAAGTTTAATCAACCGTTGCTGCTACTTTATCCTGTAAATGCACTTCCCTAGCTTTATGCTAAATATTTTAAATATAGCTGACAGCGTGCACAAGACGAGAAACAAATTATACATATAACAAGATGTCAGAAAGGAATCAAAGCAGCTCAAAAATAAAATCCAACAGCAGACACAGCCCTGAACCTCTCAAAATAATTTAAAGAAACATGGTAGAAAACCTCCTTTATCAAATGTTTTCTTTTTTTTAATTCCATTTTTTAATTCCAGTTTGCATGCAGTATTATTTTATATTACTTTCAGTTATATAAAATATTTATAAAAATAGGCACACGTTTATCTTGGGAAAATCCTGACCAAAAACTTAATATTCAATGGAACCTCCAAAGCTGTACCCAGCGCCGTGCAGCTGGATTAACAATTATGCCCTCGCTGAGTCTTGCTAAGTTTTAAGCCTCCTTCCCTTCCTTCCTTCCCTCCCTCCCTCCCTCCCTCCCTCCCTCCCTCCCTTCCTTTTTTTAAAATCTTCAAGGAAGAATATTTTCCCATTGATTTTTAAATAGAGTGGGAGAGAGGGAGGGAGGGAGAGGGAGAGAGAGAGAAACATTGATGTGAGAGAGACACATCGATTGGCTGCCTTCCACACCACCCTGATGGGGCCTGGGGATCAAACCTGCAACCCAGGTATGCGCCCTTGACTGGGAATCAAACCCGAGAACCTTTGGTCTGCGGGCTGACGCTCCAACCACTGAGCCACACCAGCCAGAGCTGCACATCCTTCTTTATCATGGACTATTAATAGAGCTGGTGCGAAGTGTTTCAAGAGGTTTCCATCCTATTACAAGCCAACGAGATGTTCCTTTGTTCATGAACTTTCTCAGGCAGGCCTTTTTTTAAATGAAATTTCTTTCTTTCCGATCATTTTCTCCTGCTTGTTCTTCTAGAGAAAGTGTGACAGTCTCTCACAAATTAAGCCCACGGAGACCCTTACCTCGTGCTTGTCAGGAGCGATGAAGTTCAGTTGGCAGTTTGAGTCGCACAAGATGGAGAAAGCGAGTTCGAGCACCTCCTACGAGAGATGAGCAAACACAGCCATTGAGGGAAACGGCACGGTTCGTTGTGCAGACACACAGCGGGGGCCCGCGGGCTGTCAGGGACGCAGCGGCCCAGGGGCCACCCCACCAGCGCAGAGCCTCTCCTCTGTGGCATCTCCCTTCCGGGGAGACCAGGAAAAGCTGTAGCTCCTTCCCCATCGGCAGCATTAAGGGCCACTCTCTGTTTGCTCACCCCAGACAGACAGATGTTCACAGGGGTCGGGACACTCAGTGTCACATCTAACATGTAGGTTAACATGCACTTCTCGAATTGTCTGCACTGCACAATATTGGACCAAGGATTATTCTCCTGGTCTGAGCAGTCAGCAGGATACAACCCTCAGAAGACAAGAATCATCGTACATCTGAACACCTGATCTCGAGGGGCAGGCGAAGGGTGTCCACACTGGTGTCTACATCGCTACAACAGCGTGCTCGCCTGGCCGCCTTCCTTGTGTCTTCCTTAGGCCCCGCTGAGGACCACGCCTCTCCCCGGCTGTAATCTGGGGGCCCCTCTCCCCCGCCGAGACCTGGGAGCCCCTCTCCCCGGCTGTAATCTGGGGGCCCCTCTCCCCCGCCGAGACCTGGGAGCCCCTCTCCCCGGCTGTAATCTGGGGGCCCCCTCCCCCGCGTGACCTGGGAGCCCCTCTCCCCTGCAGTGACCTGGGAGCCCCTCTCCCTGGCTGTAATCTGGGGGCCCCTCTCCCCCGCCGAGACCTGGGAGCCCCTCTCCCCGGCTGCATAATCTGGGGGCCCCTCTCCCCCGCCGAGACCTGGGAGCCCCTCTCCCCGGCTGTATAATCTGGGGGCCCCTCTCCCCCGCCGAGACCTGGGGGCCCCTCTCCCCTGCAGTGACCTGGGAGCCCCTCTCCCTCCCGCGGTGACCTGGGAGCCCCTCCCCCCCCCCCGCGGTGACCTGGGAGCCCCCCCCCCCCCCCCCCGCGGTGAGCTATCATGGATCTGGGGCAGTGTTCCCCTCAGGGGCAGCTTGTCATACACCACGACACTCTCTCAGACATTGAGGCCCTGGGACTTGGCAACTCACCACCCAAGGTCTTTTATTCCCCGTGGATTTAACTCAGTGAAATGCTATGTCCAGGAGCAGTTTATGTCCACGCTGTGCCCACTGATTCACAAATCCCTCGCCGAGTGCAGGGAGGCCCAGGATGTGTGGGTTCCGGGGATCGAGGCAGCAGGTGGACCTAAGACTGCCCCCTTGCCCAGGGCCTCTGGCCTCATACTCCACCCTCCCACCTGGGACCAGTGACCAGGCACATTAGGTCAGGGGACGCTCGGAGAAATTCGGGGCATGGTGACACCTTGGTTTGGGGACTGTCACTTTCCAGGGGCCAAATGAGGGGCTGAATAAACACAAGAGTAGTTTTTAAACAACGTATTTCCAGCGCACAGTGTCGGCTGTCATCCCTTCTCCTGTTTTGGGGTGACTCGCCCCATCTGGCCATTTTGGCCGGCATTCACTTTATCTGTGTTGGTTCCCCCCATCTACCCAGGCCACCACGAGGGAAAAGCATGTGGATGGGAGACACAGGAGAGAACCTGGCACGTGCAGGTGCACCACAAGGCCTTAGAAACAGGAGCCGACTGCACAGTGATGGTACATGACTGCTGGTCTCAGACCTATGGATTGGAGCTTCTGCTGTGGAAGGTAAAATTCACTCACTCTTGTAGGACATAATAACGGAGGACAGAGCCGTCCTCAGGCAGCTCTAACTCTCCGGCACCAATCCAACCCGTTCTCTTCTCTCCACCCCCATCCATCCTTCAGCCTGGAGTTACCATCTTGATCAGGGTCTGCTCCTCCACACGGTGCAAGGCCCCTGTGCCTTTCCACACCCCTCCCCCTCCTGAAAAACCCTCCCCTCGCTTCTCCACCTGTCCGTTCCTTTTCAAAACCCAGGTTGGACACCACTTCCTCCAGGAGCATTTCTCCGGTCTCCCAGGCTCACCCTGTTCAAGTTTACTGCAAAAACGGGCAGCGCCGGACTGTAGTGGCCTGTTGATAAAGAAGGATTTTATCTACCCGGGGCCGGGGGCCAGGTCGCATCTCTTTGGAGTCCTAGTACCCGGCACAGGCCTGGTATGAAGAACACACAGTCCAGTGGCTGCATGAATGACAATGAGGTAAATCTGGGTAACAGGCTTTTTGGTTAAGACCAGGGTTTTCAGTCTGATGCTAGAACATCAGCTTCCAGTATAATCTGTTTCTTATTTTAGGCTCAGGCACCACCCTGGAGAAACAGCAGCTGGATTCTGGGACACGGTAGACAGAAGCTTCTCTTACACCAAATATATTCCTACTCGAGTCAGCGAGTCCGATCAGTTCTCTCCTCTGGGGATTTTTTTTTAAATCCTCACCTGAGGATACTTTTCCATTTATCTTCAGATGTGGGGAGGGGGGTAGAGACAGAGAGAGACATTGAAGCAAGAGAGTCACAGTGAATGGCTGCCCCCTGCATGTCCTGACCAGGGCCAGGACTGAACCGCAACTGAGGTGCGTGCCCCGGAATCGAACCCACCACTCTGGTCCACAGGCTGATGCTCTAACCACTGAGCAAAGCGGCCAGGTCTGGTGGTTATGTTTTGACTGTTTAACTGTAAGCCCCAAATTCGGTGGGATAAACACCAGGAAGGCCCATTTTCCAAAACTCAGCAACAAATCAGCTTTATAAACGATGACGTTTGAATTGAGAAGCCTTAATCCTTAAAACCCAGATTCTTCCCAGTGACTTTCCATCCACCAAGTTAATTCCATTTGAGTCTCACTGAGAACCTCCTCATCTGTCTGTGAAGTCAGTGCTGTCTGCACCCCCAGAAGTCTGCCTGCTGCCGGATCCTCCTTAAACACTCAGACTCAGTGCTGTCTGCACCCCCAGAAGTCTGCCTGCTGCCAGATCCTCCTTAAACACCCAGACTCAGTGCTGCCTGCACCCCCAGAAGACCCCCGTTAAAACTCAGACTCGGAGACTGCGAGCCCCTGGCATTTCTCACGCCCCAGCGAGCCCACACTCAGCCCGCAGCAGTGCGTCGGAGTGACCATTGGGCCACCCTGCCGTGTATGGCTCCAGGGGCGCAGGTCTGGCTGTGGTGCTGGACCCCTGACTCCCGGACTCCAGGGTGGTGGCTTGCCCTGTGGCCTCAGTTCTCTGGCTGGGTGAAGAAAATTGTTGATTTTCCCCTGACAGTTTCTTCCTACTGTAAGCAGAGCAGCGACACGTCCCAAGCTCTTTACGTGTTGGGGCTGCAACCGGAAGCCCCCACACCTGGTTTACATCCCTCTCTCTGCTCCACTCGGTGCCTAAATCCCCGCAGGGCTGTGCCGTCCAGCGACACCCTGGCCTTCTCTGGGCTGCGGACCCTGGTGGCCGCACTTCCCCTCGTGGTTTCCCGCGCAGCTCCCAGGGCTACGCAAGTGTGCGGGCCTCAGCGGAGGGGAGCAGAGCCCTCTCCCCAGCATGCTGCTGGCCAGGGGTGGGGAAGGCAGGCAGCCCCCGGGGCCCCGGGAAGGCTGGAGCCCTGCTGCTGTGGTGAAGGACGCGCCTCTGAGACCTGAGAACACAGGGCCCCCCCAGGCATGCCCGGGTGTCATTGTGCGTGTCACCCGCATGCACCGCGTGCCAGCGCCTTGACAGGCTCCAGAAAGAAGGACGCACACGGACTTGCTTGAATGACATTTATGTGGAGAGGAAGCGGAGGTCCTGCTACCAGCCTCCGCTGTATCCACCCCCCTGTCTTCCCAAACGGCGCTTTCATAGATCTTTAGTTTTCCCTGAACTGGAGAGGGTCCCCCGGGCGGACCTGGATTCCCCGTTGTCTTACAGCGTTAGCGACTGACTGCAGAGCAGGGATCATTCGCGTTAACCCTGACTGCTAAGCAAAACGCAGAGAAGGTTCCCATTCCCCTTAGATACTGACACTGGACCATACAAAAGCTGCCATTGATCGATGTGATACTTTTGGTGCCGAGGTGGCTGGAGCGCCCAGGTCCGTCTGCGTAATTAACTTCATGGACGGGTACCATACAGGGTGTCCCCTCAAAATGTACACAGGGTGTCTGTAGATTCTATGACATTTTGAAAGTGAAATGTATTTTAATAAACCCTGGCCTTATAGTTATTCCAAGTTGTGTATACATTTTTGGGGACACCCTATATTTCACAAGATGCCAAGAGGTATGAACAAAGAACTGGCTTTCTGAGGGCCCCTCCGAGGGAAAACACCTCCAAACCGGGGGCGAAGGGAACCTTCCACCTTTTCTGATAATGCCCGGCACCCCCTGGCACGGGACGTGGGCGGCCATGGTGAACAGCCTGCAGTAAAGTAGGAGGCGAGCATGAACACAATTGCAGTTTGAAACAATTGCAGTATGAGGAGGATTTCAGCTATGTACACCTTGGGGGGATTTTCTCCTCTGAGCTGGGTCTGAGCTCCTTCACAGCCTTTTGCTCCGCGCTGACGGATATCGGGGCCTGAGACATTTTCTGAGATGTTCTCAGTCATTCGGTCTCGGCCTTTCCCAGGTTGCACTGAGGCCCCAGGGAGGCTACTAACAGCAGGAGAAAACGAGAGCCTGGGTGGGACTTGGGGCAGGGCTACTATAAACACAAGCCGGGGGTACGAGACGCCCAGAGAAATGGGCGGGGACGAGCGGAGCAGGCTGGGGAGAAGACAGGGTGGTACCAGCGAGAGGGCCATGCCCAGGGCGAAGTGGACAGGGAGTGAGGGACTGGAGGACAGGTGGGTATTAGCCACATGACCAGTGGGAGGAAAAACACAGCAGAGAGATGTAAAGGAATCAGGAAAGGAAAAAGGTGTGCAACTACACACACACAGACACACACACACACACACACACACACACACACACACACACACACAGGCATTGCTACTGAAGGAGGCGGCCCAGGCCCGTGCTGGCTGTGCTGTTCAGACAGACGCTCTGCAATAATTTCGAAACCTTACCTTGTTTTGTTTAAGGGCACCTTTCTCTTTCATATGGGGGCAGTCCTTTCCCGTCACCACCGCTTTGATGTCCGCCACCGGCACTGGAATTCACAAAAGAGAAGGAGAGTGATTCACCGCGTCGAGCGGAGATGTCAACAAAGAAGCAGGTGGAAGCATCGAGCCTCTGGCCCCCCTGCCATACCCGGGGACTGCGGCGAGAACAGACTTGAAAGGAAGACGAGATGTCAGGCAGAGCCCCAGGACTTGGAAACTAAAGTATGTTCTTATAGTCTGGTGAAAAGCACGCCTGGGGAGGAAAGTCTAGGCGAATAAGCAGAATTTGGTTCACTTACACAGACAGTAAAAAAGAAAGCCATCACAGTCGAGGGAAAGTGACGGTCTCAGAGGCAGCAGCAGCAGCAGCAACAGCGGCACCGGCCCTGATGCTACGGGGGAAGGGCCAGCACCGTGCCGAGCGCTTGGCACATATCGGTGTCTCTGGCTGAAGTATCTACTGGGTAGTTTCTGAGTTTTGGGTAATGAGGGGAGGCTGCCCCATCACAGAAAATGGATTTGAATCGAAAGAGTCCTGGACTCTCCCCCCTCCCTCCCCACTGTCTCATTTCCCACACGATTCTGTGAGGCAGGTTCCAGTACTCCTGTTCCACAGAAACGAACGGACTCCCATGGAGGGAACATTCGTTCAGACAGGGAACCGGTCGCTGTATTCATCTTGCAGTTAGATGACAAGAAGCCATCTCACGCCTCCGGATTTGGAAGGAGATAAAAGAAATGGAAAGGTGTGTGCCGCTCAAACGTTTTGTTAAAATAATCTGAGAGAAAGAGAAGGCCGTTGGATGGTTTGGAACCTTAAAAAAAAGCAAAGTCACCGGTCCCTCTCCAATTCCTAATCTTTTGTCCCCTAAGAGACTGTGAGTCTGTCTCAGGATCTGCAGAAACTTTGAGTAATGAATTCCTACGTAATCAATCAGTAATGCCCTGAGTAATCATTCCCTTGATGAAGATGATGAGAAATTTCATAACTAAAGTTCACATACTTTTACTAGGGAATTGAGTTGCGGGGGTGATACTTAAGAGGACGATAAAATTATAAAACATAGAGACTATCAAAAGGATACAATAGGAAGGCCCCTTAAGAGCTGACATTTCGCCCTGGCCGGTTTGCACAGTGGTTAGAGCGTCGGCCTGCCGTCCAGAGGGACCCGGGTTCGGTTCCCGCTAAGGGCACATAACTCGGTTGCGGTGTGTCCCCGGCCCTGGTTGGGTCATGCGCGAGGCAGCCACTCAATGTGTCCCTTTCACATCGATGTTTCTCGCTCTTCCTCTCTCTCCCTCCCACTCTATCTGAACAAAAAATGGAAAAATGTCCTCAGGTGAGGATTAAAAAAAAGAGCTGGCATATCCCAGGTACCCGGAACAGCTAAGAACTTGGTGCAGATCGTGGGCTTTCCCGGGCCTCTCACTAACCCTGGAGAACAGCAGGGCGATGAGTCCTCCCGGGAATCTCTGCACATGGCCCACTATCGGTCCCAAAATGTCTGCTCCTTTACCTTGCAGCCCTGATTCGACCCCACTTCGGTAAACATTACCTGTGCTCACTAATATCTGGCTCTCCTTTCTTCCCGGGCCTGTGAAAGACTACACTTCCCAGCAACCCCTGGGGCCATGTGATCAGCTCTGGCCAATGAAACATGAGAGGAGATGGCAGGCCTCTTTAACTGGCTGAGGCCGCCTCCCTTCCCCAGTTGCAGAAACTGCTCAGGGCCCAGGTTCCATGCAGATGGCACAGCTATGGGAGGGCAAAGCAGCCAGTGGCCTGTGTCCCTGAGGGACTGTGTGGTGCAGCCTTTGACAGTCCGTGTCAGGTATGCAGTGTGGGGAGACCTGGGGCGTGTTTGTTCTTGTTGCTCTTGCAGTAGAACGTAGCAGGGCGGCCTGCCACAGCGGCATAACCCTTACCTGGGACCCCTGATTCCTGAACCTACTGTTGACTACGACCCCGGACCTCAGCTCCCCGCAAATCCATTTTCATAACCTTCGGTTAGCCCTGTTGCCTTAGGGGCCTGGCTGCCTTATGACCCTAGAAGGGGAACATTCGACACTTTGGGAAGTTGGATTTACTTTTCAATGGAAAATCCACCATGGAAGCGAATTTTACATAATTAACATACCCATTCAGAAAATCCTGCCAAGCTTCCGATGGAATGTGAGTCATAAGTACCTCAGAAGTAGAAAGCCTTTTGTTGTATAATCTATAACATGGTCAATGAACTAGAGAGTGTCTACAATCTAAAAATAGTAAGTTACCCCGTGGCTTTGAAAACCCACCACATGGACTGGGACAAGATGAACACAAAGTCTACTGTGGGAGCAGCCTTCCGAATCTCTAATGAGAAGGCTCCCGGGGAGCAAAGGCACTGTCCCCCTGGTTCGTGGCACTACATAGTTAATGCTTCTCGTACGCACTGTCCCTGTCAAGGAGACAAGCTGCCTATTACTCACAGCATTGTGGCTAAAAGGAAACACGAATTCTGAAAATACGCCGTGGCTTTTAAAGGTTGCTCTTTGCATAGTTTACCTCTGGATGCACTGGAATAGTAGACTTCCAAGGGCTGAAATGTGAAATGCCACCCTCTCTCTCCCCATGAGCAGAATCAGACTCACGTCTCTCGACTCTGCAAAGGGCTCTTGATTATGTCAAAGCCAGGCAAGAATTTCCATTAGGTCTTTGTGTGTGTGTGTGTGGAGTGGGGGGCACCATAAAGAAGTGGGACCCATAGATATGAGGACAGGATGGTCACTACTGGCACCATAGCCTCAACTGTAAATTTGGGGGGCATGGCTTCATTTCTTTCTATGCTTCCTTCACTTTGAGCTGGATTGAGATGATCTAATTCAACACGCCCATTGTACAGATGGGATGACTGAGACCTAAAGAGAGGCGATAAATTATGCAAAGTCACATAGCCAGTGGGGGACGGAGCTGGGACTATACTGGCCTCTCTTTCACTCCATGCTCCCGAGATATGTCACAATTTCTCCTTATGTTTGGAAGGGGACAGCACCCGGATCACGCCCAAAATCGCCCCAGATGTGGTTATCACGTCAGATATGTTCAGGAAACTCTTGGATTGCTAACATCTGTAGAACAGACTTTAATTGTAATTTAAAACAAAAACACCATTGGAAAAGTAAGTATGGCCACCATACTTACTAAACTAACACAGTTTTAGTTTTCACCACTGGGAACTAAGCTGAGGCAGAAATCAGCACAGGAAGTAGCTGGTACGCTATGAGCACTTGCTCGTACACAGCTCCCATGGGTAGTTACCATGGAGGAGGGACGGGCTGATCCCAGCACAGTTCAATAAGGAGTCTGGTCTCCAACTTGGCAGCATGAAGGGGTGGGAAGGGCTGCCGTGCCTTTGGAATCACAGAGCCTGGGTTTGAAATCTAGTCCCACCTACTGGCAACAACACTCTGGGCTTACGTACTGGGAGCGTACGCTTTCTTGCCTGCAATGTGGACTTATAACGTCATCTATCTCAGAGGGTTGCTCCAAGAATGAGCTCCTCATAGTGGAGCCAAGATCACAGCTGGCTTTTAATCTAGGCCATGCAGAGCAGAGGGTGAAGGGCTGGGCCAGGGAGCTGGATGGTTGCATTTGAGCCATGTGACCTTGAACAGGTGACCTAATGTTTCTGCACCTTATCTGTAAAACGAGGGCAATGCTATCTACCTCTTCTGGTCATCAAGAGGGTACTTTACGTAAAGTTCCCAGCTCAGTGCCTCGCTTATAGTAAGCACTCAATAAATGCTGTTTGAAATTGTCCTCATTATCAATAGCCAAAGTTAGTTCTCTCTGTCGACTGGGGACCTGAATTATTCACCATGCATCAGCGACCCAAATCGCCCGCGTTGCTCTGGGTCTCAGCTGCTCCTCTCAGCGTCTGTAATAGGCTTAATTGCCTTGTGTGAGGGGCGGAGCCTTCTCCTCTCGAGCCCCTTTGATGTGGGAGTGAGGAGCACTGGCCTAGATTCTCTCGAAGGGGGGCACTGAGGGGCCCAGCGCTGAACAGCCGTAGAGTCTAGTGTTCAGTGGGGGTGATGAGAGCCTGTCGACCTGGTGGGGGGGATGTGGGGCGAGGGGATGGAAGGAGATATGGATTTTCAAGGGCCCCATCTTCTGTCAGACAAAATGAATACTAGGAGAGCAATTTCCTAAACCTTTTGGGATGATGACAGCGAAGGGGAGTCTCACCATCTTCACTCCCACTCTTCTGCAGGAAGAGAATTCAGTTAGGCTGTTTGAACCGTCGACACAGTTTCCCCTGGGTCTCCAGGCAGGGCGATCGTACCGAGCCAGAGCAATGGCTCTTGGCATTCATTAAAGACATGGCTCATTTTTCTGGAGGAATGAAGTTTCTGACTTTTAAGAGCTGCAGGAGAAAGGGCTCCCGGGCTCCAGGCAGAATGTGTGATGGGAACCGGATGCAAACCAGGTAGCAGGTCCCCGACAGCAAACTGAGTTTCCTTGGCCAGAGCCTTCTCAGCTTCATTTGACAGCATTACAGGAATGCACCCCTCTCTGGGACAGGTGTGCACACAGGTAGTGTCGCCAACACACACACACACGCACGCACAGCATGGCTTCCTGGTTTAGACTGCAGTGGATAAACAGTTACGAAGCAGAAGGCCTGGGCTTGGAGGCCGCGGAGAAAAGGGGTGCACAAGGATTTTGGAACCACTGGCAGAGGGGCCGGCTGCAGCTCCGCCCCAGAAACGGCGTCACTCCGTGGCCACCACCGATAGCCGCGTGGAGACCCGCAGCCCTGGGGTGCTCTGCTGGCCCTGGCATGAGCACTCCTGGTGTCTAGCCAGTTACTTTCACCCCGCGTCTTGCTGGGGTGGGGGCACAGGCTTATGGGCACGGCCAGGTAGTGTCCCCGCACAAGGCCGTCCACGCCTTGACCTTCTCCAGGTCCAGGGTGCCAGTTCCCTTGTGAACAGGACCAGCTAGAATGGGGGTGCACGTAGACAGCCTGCCATCAGCACCAAACAAGCGTCTGTCTGTGGGTTGAGAAGTGGATTATATCCCATCAACACGGAGACAAATAATGTGTTTCCAACTCGGGGAGACTGTGCACTGGGCCACGCGGGGAAGGAGTGACTCAGACCTCTGGTTTGTCTGTCTGTCTGTTTTCTGCCTGGACCACTGTCCTTGTTTCTTGGTCAGCCTAGGAACGAGGTTGTGGGGCACTTCCTATGCAATTTCTGTTGCTTGGATCAATAGTAACCTCCAACTCTTCATGTTACCACTCACTCCAAATTGCTGCCTCTGGACAGTTCCTCCTTCATAAGGGAGTTTTCACCCGTCAGAAAACAGAGAAAGATGAAAATACTGGTGTGAAATTAAAAAAAAAAAAAATCCTCATCCAAGGATATTTTTTCCATTGATTTTCAGATAGAGTGGGAGAAAGGGAGGGAGGGAGAGAGTAGAGATAGATATACAGAGAGACACATCGACTGATTGCCTCCCACGTGACCCCAACCGGGGCCGGGGACGAACTGCCACCAAGGTACGTGCCCTTAGCAGGAACCAAACCCGGGTCTCTCTGGTCTGCGGGCTGATGCTCTAACCGCTGACCCAAACTGGCCAGGCCCTGGTATGAGTTTTGTAAAAAAGCTAATTTAATTTTGCAGAAGGGACTGGTCTTCATTCCAAGATGAGGTCTTCCTTCCTGTTTATCGTGATCCAGAGTCCTTTTTTTTTTTTTTTTAAATGAAAGGATTGTGATAAAACATTTTAGTTATACGTTATTTTTTAATAGCCTTGTTTACCAAAATTAAAAGCCGGTAACCCACCACCAATTCATTTTTGCTGTTTTTTAAAATGTGTGCTTCTCGGGGAAAGGTGAATTTGAGGACTCGCCGTGAGGAGCGCAGGGCGACGGGAGCCAGCAGTTCTCGAGTGGACATCAGACTACCTGGGGGGCCCTTAACACAGAGAATGCTCCGGGCCCAGAGCTGCTGGTTCAGCAGGGCTGCAAGTGAGGCCTGAGAATCTGCATTCCCAGCTAGTTCCCAGGTGATGCTGCTGGTCCGAAACCAGACCCGCAGAACCACGTGTCTAAGTGGGTAGAATGCTTTCTGAGCCTGAAGGCAGGTCCTCGTACGGACAGAGGCCCAGGCTGCCCCCACCTCGGTAGCGAAAGGTTTCGTTTTCTTCTCTTCCCATTAACAGTGCCAATCACAAGCTCCTGCACAAAGAGACTGCTTTCTGAACGAAGTGGCACTACAAAGCCCAGACTGCCCCACTTTTTAGCTGGAGAAAGAGACTCTTCCAGGCTGTCTGTCTGATATGTCAGCGGAGTCTGAATGTTTCGGGAATTTTCCACTCCCCGCTTATTTTAGCCTTCGAGGGCCATGAGCTTCAAGGCAGGCCGGCCGGCCGGACCTGACTTCCCCGGGTCCTGGGGTGGCAGGAGGTAGGTGCTGGGGCTTGGGGACAAGCACCTGATCTGGGACACTGTGACTCACCGCAGAGTCAGTGTGACTTTTCAGGGTTATTTAGAAGTGCCTTTATTTTTCTCACTCTTTGATTTCCCTTTCTGGGGTATCTTCTGGGGCTATGTTCATTTCATCTCTTTCCTCTTCCAAATTAACTCATCAGCCTTGTATATTTTAATGTTTCTATAATGCGCGACTTAATGTGGATACTTAATACTGTCTACAAAGCCTGGAACCTGGTTTGGCGTTGGGCGAAAATAATCTCGTTCTTCAAAATACACACATTAAAACGGACATCTACAGAAAAAGCAAATAAACACACATAACGTGTATTTCGGGGAATATTTAGTTCGCCATACATGTCCGAGGTGTCTGCGTTATGACCCTGAAGCAGCCAGCCGTGCCCCGGTCAGCCGTGGGCTCTGCATCGTAACTACGGGACACACGGAACTACCATAAGGATGTGGGCGGGGTCAAGCACACGATTCCTGTGAAATGACTCAGGGCCATCCGGAAAAAACAATGAATGGACAGAATCAGGTTTACAGTGTTTTGACTCCCTGAAACGGCCCCTGAATGAATCATGTGGGAGTGGATGTCTGAACCCCTGTTCACGCCTTTCAGAAAGGACACCCTACCATTCCTTTTACCCCCTTTCCTGTTCAGCCCCAGCCCCAAATCCAGGAAGGCCTGGCGCATCTCGAGAACGCTCAGGCCGGGACTTAGGCCGCGATGAAATGTGTCCGATGGGCTTATGCAGGCGGACGGCTTTGCTGTGTGCCAGTCAGTGTCCAGCAAACAACAAGCGAGCCCCACGCAGGCCCCCCGCCCAGAGGGCCACTTACGTTTGTCCTGCAAGGAATCGTGGGGCACCTCTCCCTGAGGGCTCTCCTCCAAGTCTCCATAATGCAGGACCTTGTGGTTTGGTGACAGCCGGCAATACCAGAACTTGTCTGAGGAAGGAAACACACGCACAGGTCAGCGATTCTGGTCTCCACGGACACTGGCGTCCGTACTTCTAACAGCGCCCAGGAGAACGAGCGGCTCAGCCGATTCCAAGTCTTCAGAAAGGAACGGACCCTAGAGCCCTGAGCAGTAAGTCCCTTTTGATCTTGGGGGTTCGTTAGCACCTGTCCTGCTGAACGTACATCTGAGAACCACCGGGAGGGGTAGCAACTCCTTCAAGTGCAATGGTGACAGGTTTTCTGAGGCGGTGGCCGCCGGAGGGTTATTTTACTGGTTTCTATAGCGACTATGGGAATTGTTCAGGCCACGGAGGCCTGACGGAGGGGGAGGAAAACGTAGAGAAAACAGCTTTCTCAAAACTTTTCTGCTTCCGACTCCTTCTCTGAGATTCTAAGGCTGTTGAGACAGTTGTGTGACACGCTTAGCTGGCACACCGAACCTCCCACCCCAGAGCAGACACACACAAAGTAATCAGTGAATGAGTAGTTGGCGTGCTGGCGATACACACAGGGTCGGAAATGATCTAAGTAACTCAGAGATTTATTCCAAGAACGAGGACATTCACGATCACTTCCTCTCGCGTTCCTAGAGTTTGGTTCTCTAAACGGGCATGACCAGGGCCTCAGGGTCAGTGTTATAAATAACTCCCTCAACGTGACCTCCTCTCCGCCCCCCAAAATCACAAAAATTTTTGAATAAGCCTGTGAGCGGGGGAAAAAGAGGCAAAGAGTACCTCTGTAGATGAGGAACTGAAATGTGACAGCAATCTTTCTGCAGCTCCCAAGGCTGTGCTTGCATGCTGCCTCCTCCAGGAAGCCCTCTTTGATTACTGCAGCAGAAGGGACTCTGCCTATCCGCTTAACTGCCCCAGCATCTTCTTTGATTACTGGGGCCCACATGTTGAGCACCTTCGCATTCCCCATTATGTGCCATACCCTAGGTAAGCAACTTGCCCTAACGAGTGCTCGGTGAACAATTACTGATGAAAGAAGGCCCCGGGCTACTCATCAGCCTAACGGCGTGGAGAAGCTGGGCTCCCTGGGACAGGTGCTGTCTTCACAATTGCACTGCCCCAACCCCCTGGCACAATGCTGGCACCTAGAAGCTGTAGTTGATGTTGGCTAAACTGATAAATGAAGACCCCAAGGGGACTTGGTCAAATGCTTCAGGCACAGAACGTGTACGACCTGCGACCTCCCTGTGCCATCACGCAGTTGGAGCGGCCTCCGTCAAATCCCCATTCCTGGGTCTACAAACACAAATTACTCTGAAACCACGCTGAGAAATTCGCCGTGACATTTAAAAAATAAACTGCTTTTCTATCTAAAACTGCTCTGGTGGCAAAAGCATGTTTGAACTATGAATCTTTTAATAGGAAAGAAAGTCTTACAAATCGGAGAAAAAGCCACACAGCGAACAAAGGAAACACCCACGCCTGATCCGCGGACATCTCCGCGACTCGACCTCCCTCGTCTGTAGACGTGGTGTGCGAATCCCCGAGAGGGGTCAGAAGACGGCGTCCCGTACATTGAAAAGAATCTGAACTCTGATCGAAAATATGGAAAGAGAGTTATTGGAAGGGTAGGAAAACATCTGGAATTGCTAAATTTTCAAAATGTTGTTAAATAGATCGTCCTTTTTTCTGGGAGAGCATTTTAATATTTTATTTTATTTTTTTATCCTCACCCGAGGACATTTTTCCATTTTTTGTACAGACAGAGTGGGAGGGAGAGAGATGAAGAGAGAGAGAGAGGGAAACATCGATGTGAAAGGGACACATCGAGTGGCTGCCACCCGCACGACCGACCAGGGCTGGGGACAAACTGCAACCGAGGTACATGCCCTTAGCGGGAACCGAACCCAGGTCTCTCAGGACTGCAGGCGGACGCTCTAACCGCTGAGCCAAACTGGCCAGAGCTGGGAGAGCATTTTAGAGGAAGAACGTGAAGTTACTTCCTGAATAATCCGCGCCCATTTCAATCAGGCAAAGTGTCGGAGTTTCCCAGGAAGAGACACAGCGGGAATCTGACCTGGACTTCGCCACAGGGGCGGTGGCTTCCCAAGGTGCACCCACGCTGGGGCTGTGGGGTGTCAGCAGCACCCTCGGGTCCTGGCATGCCAGGCGGCAGAGGTTTCTTCTGCCCCGAAGGACCTTCCCCCTGTCCACGTGGCCTGTGATGGCCACAGAGCCAGCTGGAGAAATGAGCACAACACTGTCCTTCCTCCGCCACCTTGGAGGTGGGGCTTTGGGCTAAGTGACAACTAAAACGGGACAGAAACCCTGGGAGGAGGTCAGCGGGCTGTGGATGCTTGGACACTGGCCTTATTTGGGGGAGATCTCAGCCTGTGCGCTCCAGGGTTCCTCCCTTCTGCAGCTGAGGTCGGCTCTGGGTGCGAGTCTACTGCTCGTGGTAACCAGCAGCCCAAGGGTCAGTGGTGCAACGGCGACCAGCCGTCCTCAGGTAGGTGGGGACGCGCTCGGAAAATTAAGCGGTGTGCACAGACACAGCTTGGAGGAAAGGGCACGACTCATATTCATTTGAAAGACTTTTAAAAAAACCTTTTCTGCGCTACTTTCGATGGTCCTGGCTGTGGGCTGGTGGCGCACACCGCGGCCTCCTGGGCAGAGCAAATGTCGTCAGGACGAAAGGCAGGTGTGAGATCAAGCCCAGGAGTTCACGCCCTCAGGCCCCGATGGCCACCCAGAGAAAGACGGTGGGGACAGCGTCTCCCGGGTCGGAGAAGCGGGCACAGGGTCTGCAGCGCGGCCCGCACACAGAGGACAGCAGGCCCAGAGCAGGTCGGGGGCGGCATGTCTGTCCGTTCAGACACTGAGCCAACGTGGCTCTTCATCAGGTCCCAGGAGGCAAAATAACCACCATCCTTGCAAAGTCGCCGTCAATGTTTGTTTAAAGAAAACGCCAAAGGCTACCCGGAGCTTAGCCATCTCCCACCTCTGCCGGACCCTTCTCTTGTTCTAAGCTCCCCTTTCTCTGTCCCCCCCCCCCCCCGCAATGCTTCCCGCATCGCTAACGTAAGTGATGTGGTCTGTTCCTCCCGTGCAGGAAGCCTGGGTGGATGACACACTGCAAAGGGGGCAGGGAAGGCTTGGGAAGGATGATCGGACTCCTGAGTATCGAATGCGATCCTGAGCCGGTATCTACCGCAGGAGGGAGGCCGGCGCCCCGCATCCTGGGGAGAAGGAGCGACACCCTAACTTGGCTGTGTCTGCAGAGAGAGGCAGAGGCGCCAGCTCCGACCAGCACGGCACACCCATGAGTGGGTGAGACGGGTCGGGTGCCAGCCGGCGGCGGCAGCTTGCTCTGCAGTTCCTTTTATGGTAAGAAAGATGCCTATTTTCTTTTCAAAACCAGCCCGATGTTACTAGCGCCGCCATCCCTCTGGGCAATGAATAAGTGGATTGTGTCACTAAAAGCAATTAGCAAGAAGCAGTGAGAACATTATCAAAGATTGTTGACTAGAATTTAGAGAGAAAACAGGAGTTAATATAGAAGTCTTCCCGTCAATATGGAGACAATTCTCTCTGTCTCCCCCCCCCCCCTCTTTCTGAAGGATCAGAGAGAAAAGCTGGTTTCAAAACTCACGATCCTGGAAAGGTCTCCGGGGCTAATTAAAGCGGCTCCCAGTGTCTCATGGACCATTATGGAGCTAATAACCACTGATGACGGCAATTCTTGCAGGAATGTTCGAAAGACCTCTATGCAAGGACGGAAATACTCCGTGTCTACCCGAGCAAGAGGATGAAAAGACATTTACATTTTATTTAATTTTAACGAACTTAGCCATAGATAGCTCCATGGAACAGTGTGGTTTATTGTCTGTCTTCATTGTCCAGGCTGGAGACACATCTGGGGCAGGCTCACAGGTCTTTAGAGGAGACAGCCAAGCTGAACAGGAGCTACCACTGTGAACTGTGAAAGGCTGGTCAGTTCAGTGAGGCCCAGAAGAGGCTTGGGAAGGATATTTTGACTCCTGAGTATCCAAAGCTGATACTGAGCCAGGTAAGGGAAGGCATCTCAGCCTTGGGGGCAGCGTGGGAACGTGACAAGTCCACGGGGACACTACGGAGTGCAAATGAAGTGTGTCATGCTAGTGCTCAGGGAAGGGATGCGGTCTACAACTGGACAGTGTCTTCCACAGGAAGCAGAAGGTTCATGCTACCGTTTCTTGAGATGATTCTCCGACGTGCAGCCATGGGCTCTTATCAAGACTCTTCTGCAAGTGATTCTGAAAGAACCTCATCTCTGCAGTACAAAGGGAAGAGGGGGCAGTTTCTGAGCCCGGAGATTCTCCTAACGCAAAGAATGGATGGCCCCAATGGAGACAGGGTCGGGGGTTACATCGTACGTCCCTCCCTGTGGAGGACTGTGGACCAGAGCCTCACATACCTGCGGTGGCTGCAGGACGAGCGGAGCAGGTGTGTGACATCCAACATTATTCTACTGCCTGCTTCAAACCCTGTATTCTGAAGGCCTCCAAGTTAAATCAATGCTAAATATCACTCTCGGAAGCCTGACAGAGTGTTGAACACCCTACTAAGTGCTACAGAGGCACGACTTTCTGTATCGCTTACAGCTACTCGATGTAGGAACTGAACCATCCCCATCAACCGACAGAAGCACAGAGAGATCTAGTAGGTTGCCCAAGGCTACCCAGCTAGCAGGGACTGGAGGGGGGAGAGGCAGGAACTGAAATTCAATTTGATGTGTCTCACGTGATTTACTGCCTCCCAGTTTTAATGTGGTCAGAATCCCCAGGAACCCAGATTTGTAAATGTCTACATCACACTATCCAAGTAGAGTCGCAAACGAGTGGATGAAATGATGGCCAAACATCAACTCGGCGCCTTCTAGCCAAATGTGACACAAAGGATACCACGTCTGCCCCTCCACTCTCCAGTCCTGTGGGGTGGCAGCCCTTCCTTAGCCTCCCCTGTAAGGTGGTGCTTAAATCCACTCATCTGTGTCTGACTCACTGGTGGACACGTTTACAGGAAGGAGCGTGGGGCTCCTGCGTGGGCATGCCTGCTCTGTGGCCTGGGATGCCTCTGGCCGTTCCCCCCGAGGTCGCCCACGAAGGTACACCTTTCTCGAAGGGATCCCCGTGATCTTAGGTCATGTCCTCACTCATCTGTGAAAATCTGAATGAAATGTTTAGGTGGGGTGCTAGGAAACCAATATCAGCACCGTCTGCTTCGACTCCCTATTTTTAAGCATGTAGAGCTAGTCACCAGAATCACATCCATTTCCCAAACACCCAAATGCTTCCTTTCTGCGCTAGGAAGGGTGCTTTTATATTAAACACAGATGGCCATACTCCCTAGCGAGCTGACTAATACATTTGTGATCTAGATGCTAATAGATTGTTGTTCATTAGGTAATTCATGTTTAAAAACTGGAAAAATCTGCAGATAAAGGACCGACATTTCTGTAGCAAAAGAGTAATAACAACAACAGTAATAATAACTGCAGTTGTTCCAAGTAGAACCAGGACTGCTCTAGCAGAACCTACCATTTCAGCCTAGAAGGGAGTCCCGTGGGGGGCTGACCGGGAGGCTGGGCTGTGTTCTCGGACTTAGGCTGCAGGAATTCTAGTCGGGCACTGGGGGAGGCAGTGGGTGGTGGTGTGTGTCTTTGCCAACTCCCTTCCCCCACTTCGGTGCCCTTTGCCCAATGTCAAGTAAATAGAACCTTCAGAAGTCACAGTATGGGGGCAACGTATCCTGAATACTCATTTTTTCTAAAGACAATGAAGACATCAGGGCACATAACTGACTATCTGGTTAACAGAACCAACAGATCACCTCTCCTACTCTCCCCCCGACCGACGGGGAACTGTGGCCCTGAGGGGCCATGCGTCCTGCCTAAAGACACCCAGGGCGCTGCTCACGAGCTGAGAAGCCGAGAAGCAAGTGGCCCGCTCCCAGGTCACTGCTCGTGGTTCCTAACCCGTCTGCCCAATCGCAGCAGGGCCCTTTGCCACTGGCTGCTAGGGGCCACCGTCAGTCACCTTTCTTCCTCACAGTAACTTAGGGATCGATACTGTCACCCCGCTCCAGTTGGGGAACTGCCCCAGGTCACACGGCCGGAGGGGAAGGGGCAGGGCGGCACCCACTTCACCGGCTCCAGGGCCCCTGTCCTCCCACGGTGCCCGCTGTGCCCTTGGGACGGCGCTTCCACGGGAGGAATGCAGGGAGGGAGGAGGGCGTGGACGCCTTTCACGGGCCCCGTGGGAGCCGTGGTCCCCTCCCGCACTGCTCGGCCTCACGTGGACCTTGCTCCGTCCCGGCTCCGCTCAGCCCTTCCTCGCTCCGCCCAGGGTCCTCTCCTGAGCCCAGCTGGAAGTCCACTGTGATGCCTTCCCATCCTCCAGGGACGACCTGTATTTTCATTCCTCGAGGGGATTCTGCCTTTGGAAAGTCCATAGTGTGATTTTTCATGGTAACACTGGAAACCACTGAATTTACTCAGTATCATTTACTCAGTATCAGCACGGAGCCGACACAGCAAGTGGCCAGAAGGTGGGCTCAGCATGAACAGCAGAGGACGTTGGTCGTTAGTGGGCGAGCACCGTGCATCAGGGGTGTCCGCCAGGGCTTCTCCTGGGCCGTGGCTGATGTTCGTTCTCGGTGCGGGTGCTAAGGGCAGGCCTGCCCCTGCTGGCCCCCGTCTCTGCGCCTCGCCCCAACCTCACTTTTCAGTTTTATTTCTGACTCTGTTCCTGGGACCATGCGATCCCAGTGCTCTGACTGGCGATCGACAGCTGATCAAGGGAACGAAAAGCAATCAGAGGACTTTGTCTGCCCAAGAAACTGCTGGAATGCTTTCCACCTGTGGGAACTAGTGCAAAGGCCCCGCTGAGACGTGAAGCTTTGGGGTTACCGTTTACAGAGAACGCTCAGACAGTTATCTTGCAGGATTATCAAAAGAGGTTCCATCCCATCTTGGTTCACTGTTACTTACACCCTCAAAGAAAAGGATTCTGACTTGGAAGATAATCGGTATGGAGGTTTGAGAACCCCCATCATCTACGTTGAAAGTTCCAAGGCCAAATCCTGCACCGGGGGTCAGCTCTCCCGACAGCACCGAGAGCCATTCGAAGTACGGGCCACAGAGCTGCCGGAGCACCCCTCTTCCGTGACTCGGGGTGACGTACTTGACACCTCAGCGCTGTGGTTTCCGTATCTGTCATCTGGGGGCAATCCCAGCAGTTCCTCTGTAGGGTTACTGTGAGGCTGACACGCATCGACGTGAGTCAGATGACAGCCTGGCACGTGGTAAGTGCTCAGGCAACACACGTTGGCTGCTGTTGAACCACAACCAGCAAACGCATGGCGCTGAAGGGCCCAGAAGGGCTCTTGAGCTCCATGGGTCTTCTGGAAATTCCGGACTGCGGTTCTCCTTGGGTGTGCTCGGGGTATCCGAGCTTACTGGGATTGTGATTCCTGTCCTGAGAACCGTGCTGCAGGCCCACCCCGAAACCAGCACCGTGCCCCGGGACTCCCTGGAGCAGGCGCTGCTCGCCCCAGCTGGGTGTGGGGGGCCCCGGCACATACCTTGCCTTCGCCGGCTGTTGAGTTTCCTAAAGCAGGTCCCTTCCACGAGGCGGTTCAGACGTTGCTGTTTGATCAGCTCCAAGATTTCTGGCTGAATCTTCTCCTTGAGCTCCCTGTAGAGGGACAGACACAGGTTCTGCAGCAGGCCTCGAGGCCAGGACTTCACGGGGGCCCGGGGCGGGGGTAGGGGGGTGCAGCTGCATCTTTTCACAAGCATCCCAGTACCTCCCAAGTTGTGCTTTAGAGAATCATTTATGAAGTGTCAAGGGACAGCTCACCTGTTACAACAACTCTACAGACCCTCTGACATTTACAGAACACCCTCAAAGGCACTGGGCACTTCAGTGATGTTTTTCTAGACCAAAGTGTCCCGAGAAATTTCTTCTCTTGTTTTACAAAGCCACAGCTATAAACTTCTGCAAAAATTTACTCGGCTCTGCTGTGACAATAAATCTCTGGTTGCATCCGCGCCCCCCCGCCCCCGGCCCCCCAGCAGGTAAACATCTGTGATCAAACAGGGATATTGGGCAACGGCATGATTACTATTCCACAGGTAATTCCGAGTCCCGGTGAACCACAGGGCCGTGTCTTGCTTCCAGTTCTGTCACTTACAAATGGGAACCAGGCATCACCCCAGATTCTAGCCTTCAGAGATTGGGATAACAATGAAATAAATTAAGGATGATTTGCATCCTGTCTCAGGCTAACATAATGTAATTTGGTTTTGATGCACTGGGCTGTAAAGATATCATGATTGAGTTCCATGGTTTTTTAAATCTATATTTTAAGAGCAGAGATTTTTTTTTTTTAGCATGTGACATTTCAGAGAATGGCTCTACTTGAAGCTGGACAGGGAACCCCAGGGCCTAGCCTCAGGGCACTGCTGGAAGTATTAGAATGTAGACCTAGAACTCAGAAGACTGGGGGTTCAGTCTCGGCTCTGCCCAAGGCGAACGCTTCAGGTAGTCCATCCCAGCCTCAGTTTCCCCATCTGTAAAATGGGGACAAGAATCTTTCCTGGGAGACTTCTGTGACTCCCAAAGGAGACAGTGTGAGTGCAAGGTGGGAGTCTGCTTTGATTATTTTCTCCAAACACTCCGCCGTGCAGGAGGTGAGGGTCCCGCCCCTGACTTGGCTGCTCTGACCCCCAGGGGGTAGGCGTGGTTTCACTGGCTTCCTTTTGACAAACGGTCCTCTAATTCTATCTGAAGGCTGGTGAAGCAATACAAGGAGGGTGATTAAAAGAGGTTGGCAAGTGGGAGTGTGACAAGCAATTCCAAGCCTAGCACTGTGACGATTCCAAGTCCAGGCCCAAGGAAGCCAGCGTCGTACACGGCAGACAGACAGACAGACAGACAGCACCGCTGGGCTGGCGAGATTCTTCCCTGGGCCTGAGGTCCGCCCTGTGGAGCTGTTCCGAGTGCCCACCTGGCACAGGGGCTGCACACCTGCTCTGTGGAAGGCCAGTGAGTAAACAGAGCAGGCCTGTGGGCCACCCGCCGTCTGTTGAAACAGCTGGACTAACTGCCCCGGTCAAGTGAAAGCAGTGGGCAGTACACGGACGAAGGAGGTGGCTGCGTCCCAACGAGGCTCTGTTTACCGGAACAGGTAGCCTGCCGGACCTGGTCCCAGGCTCTAGGGCGCTGTGGGGACTTGGCTGATGGGCAGCGCCTGTTTCCTGGACACTGCTCTGCCTCAACAATGGGGGGCCTCCCAGCTCCTCCTTGCGCCACATCTGCTTTTCATGTCATAGACTCGTGGCTTTCGATACCACCTGCACCTTCACTTACATTTCCAGCCCAGACTTCCCAGCTGAACTCCAAACCTTGCCCCGACTGTCTGCTCGGACGTCTCGCAGGCGCCAAGAACTTGACGTGTCCGAAGCTGAACTCCTGACCCCTTTGTCCGAACCTGTTCCGCTCACTCTGTCTTCTGGTTGTTCAGCCCCAAACCTTGCGCTCATCCTCAACTCCTCTCTTTGTCTTGCACCCACATGTAACCGACCAGGAAATACCTTTGTTTGTCTTCCAGATCGATGTCATCTATAGGAGAGACTCTACTTCTCATCAGCTCTTACTTGGATTATTGAAGTAACTTCCTAACTTGCCTCTGTGGAGTCTACTCCCAATATAGCAGCAAGAGGGGTCATTAAAAACCTAAGTCAGAACATGCCAGTTCTGTGTTCAAAACTCTCTAACTGGCTTCCCAACAAGGCCCTAGGCAGTGAGGCTCCTGGGCACCTTGCTGGCCAGACTTTGGCCTCCTTTGTTTATTGAGCACCCAGCCCTGCTCCTACCTCAGGGCCTTTGCACTGCTGGTTCTCTCTGCTGGAGTACCCTTCTCCCAGACCCACACATAGCATAACCCCTTCGTCTCTTACACATCCTTACTCAAATGTCGCTCTCCCAGCCAGAGGGATCTGCTCTGACCACCCGATTTAAAACGACAAGCTCTCTCTCTCGCCATCTCCCTTATCTGGCTTTCTATTTCCGTGGCTGTATCCTATTTTAATGTGCTATAATCATATCACCATGCTTACTGTCTGTTCCTCCCACTAAAATATGATCACGACGGGGGTGAGAGTTATATCTGTTCTGCTCGCTGCGCGATCGGCAATCCAGAGGCCAGTGCCTGGCATGTAGCGGGCACTTGCCAGGCATCTGTCAAGAGCGTGCAACACTGGAAGTCAGGTAACTGACCAGACTGACCGGCGACGCGAGAGCCTTGAGCCGACCTTGCGGCCAGTCTGCGGTGAGGGCCCGGACTGGCAGGACAGCCTCCTGGGCTCCGCCTGTTCCCACTTTCCTTTCCCACCGACTCTTCCTGTCGTGCTGAGATAGGGAAGGCGTATGTACAAAGACATCCCCAGTGCTAGTCCCGCCACCTGCAGACGTCCAGTGCGACAACGTGAGAAGTTCGGGTTATCGCCAATAATCACGGCGACCGTTCCCTGAGTGGCTGTCAGGGGCCAGGCATGTACTCAGTGCCCTTCAGATGCCGCTCTGATGAATCCTCACGACACCCAGCAAGGTGCTCTCGTCACCTTCCTCGACAGACGTGCAGAACGCAGGCTGAGGGCGGCTGCAGAACTGCCCAGGAGCCGCATTTGTAAGCGGTGGTCTTGGAACGAACGCCACGCTGTGCGGGTCTGGTGGCTACGCTTCGCTGTCTTTTCCACTGGTGGGTGTCCAGCATCCCCCTTCCCCCCGAGTCCCATAGTGTTCAGTGACCTCTTTACAGGGAAAATACGTCCACGTACACAGTTGGCTCGGAGTAATTATGTAGATGGGCTTATTGTCCCTGTAAAGTCACGCTAAGTAGAAAACAACATGCCTCCTCTCTGAAATCATTAGCCAAGAGCTAAGAAAGAAAACAGAGATCCTGCAACCCACTGAATGTATGTTCCCCCAAATATTCGCGTACGTGGTGTTTGCATTTTTCTTCTCGGGAAACAGAAACGTTCTATAAAAACGGGCCGTGTGCCTCCTGCGGTCTCCATGGCACCGAGGTCGAGCACCCCAGCGCTGCAGGGGGCAGGCACAGAGGCAGCCAGGCGAGGGGGGTCGGGAGGCAGGCAAGGGGGCCCCAGCCCAGTCACCAGCCTGGTCTGCGAAATGAAACCCTGAACTGGATGGCCCTCAAGGTGCTTTCTGGCTCTCCCATCCTAATATCTATTCTAATCCCTGAGCTTGAGTCAGAGGCACCTCCTGCGTGTTCTCGTGACAACTCGCCCACACGGCTTCCTCCAGCAGAGCACAGAGCACGCGTCCTGTAACCCCCCAACCCCAGCTTCAAAACCTGGGAAAGGACCAAGGCTCTCTGGCTCTGTCCCCAGCACCTCAGACAGGGTCTGGCAGGTATAGGAGTTGCTCAATACACATTTTTAGCGCTAAATGAAGGAATGAGGGATGGCAGCCATACCCGGTCTGTGCCTTTTCCTTTGGGGACTTGGGTTTATGCTGTGAGCCATTTGGGCAGCGTTTAGACTTCCCGTCTAGTAGCTCATTCTAACAGATATAAAACATCACTGCAGAAGAAGCGGCAGGCTGGCTTCCCCCAGCTCATTTCAGGGGCTGGGGGAATGATCAAGCTGGGCGTGCCTCCCTCCTTAAAAGCCGTAGCTTCTGGCAAGTCTTTACGGCTTGACTGCAGCTACACCGAGAACCATGACTGCTTTTCAGTCCCCTGGCCAAGTGACGATGCCAAAGCTACATGCCTACAGGAGAGTCCTCCTCGCTGGCAGGCTCCTCCTGACATCGTAACTGCAAAGATGAGAGCTCGCAGCGAAGGAGAAAGAGTCAGAATGTCACAGGCAGAGCCTCGGGAAGCAGAAGCCAAGGCAGAGGCAAAGTGTTCACACTTGACAGGCAGTTAGCACTGTTACTTGGAACAAAGTCATGGTCGAACCTTAATTTAGAATCACTTGGCCTTAACTGAAGTGGTTTCCTCCAGTCTCCCGTTAGGTTGGAAACCTGTGGTCAGAAGCGCAGGAAAGTCACCCTGTCTTACCCAGGTGCTGCAACTGACCTTATAAACCCTCACTGCAGTGCCCGGGGCCAGCCTGGGGCGAGGCCCCGTCCCTCCCTGCACGGGAGACACCGTGCAGAGGAGTCAGTCATTGATCCCACGCGCTCTCTGCGCAGTATTTCCCCCTCTCCCCGAGGGCCGTGCACAGCGGCAGTGGTGCACCCTGGGAGAACTGGCTGGTGCTCGGTGTGGGTGTCCGTAGGCTTTGCAGACACACGCGGGGAGCTTCCCCTCCCGGGCTGCCTGACTGCACCCCTCCCGTCACCCTGCGCATCTGCTCCGCGCTTCGCAGAGGTGGCTCCTGCCGTCTGGAAGCGAACGCCAAGCAGATGACACAGCGTGGCCACTGTCTGTTCCGACCTGCACACTCCTTGAAAACCTCATCTTAATCTTGCACTTGGCCAAGGAATGCTGGGGAGGTAGACAGGGCTTTGGCAGAGGAATTAGAAGGCTGGGCTTCAAGTCCCGGTTCCGCGCTCCTTATCAAGGTCCTCAGCTGTCGAGACCGTATCCTGTTCCTCGCATGGGGATAAGACCTGCTTATCTCTCACAAGGACGCGAGAAAGGGAAATAGCAGAACGAGGTGCTTTGCAAATTGCCAAGCATTAAAAATGTCAAACATATGAGAGCCAGTAACAGGAAGAAGGGCAGAAAGAAAAAGAATTAGAAACACACACACACACACACACACACACACATGCATGCATATATATATTTATTTATTTAGAGAGAGAGATTTAAGATGTCTCACAATGACATGTTATCAGTCGGCTTAACACACAAGTGCAGAAGAAGCTGTGTCCCGCAGAAGGAGATAAGCATCAAACACTGCCTTTCCCTCTCCCCCTCCCCGACGGCCTTCCGCACACGTCGTAAGTGTGCCCAAACGGACCTAGCTCTTAGAAAAGAACACGGGAAGATACACAGGCCAGTTCTAAGAAAAGACGAAGCGAACCAAACAGCCTTCCTGTCCGAGGTTCAGAACATCCGAAACATGGAGATGATGACATTACGCCAACTGTTGCCGGTGGGATTCGACGCCAAGTCCTATAGAAAGGGGGTCACTGCCTCTCTGACTCAGCCTGTAGGTTGACAGTCACCAGAGCAGTATGGCATGATGCCAAGCAGAGCCAACAGGGCCGGGAGAAGGCGGCTCTCTCCTCCTCCCAAGCATTCCCTCTCCCACGCACACTACTTCAGAGTTACATGGCTTTAATTATCAGTGGGCCTCCCTCTGGCTGGGCCAGAGCATCTTGCCACTCAAAGCCACCTCCACAGAATATAGCTTCATGGGCTAAAACGTTTGTTCCCAGTGTCAGAAAAGGTTCCCAACTTTTCAGCTACACGTCCTTGGAGGGCTCATCAGCAGCTGGGCCACTTCCTGGTTCAGATCCTTCCACCAGCACCTGCGCCCCCCTGCCCCTCATCCCACCCCGTTCAGCTCCCCCAGGGGCTGCTCAGACCTCGTGGCCGGGCTGAGATCTTTCAGAACATCTCGTGTCTCCCCGGCACGGCCCAGCTGCGAGACGGACTTTCACTCTAGAAACGGCAGGTCAGAGCCCTCGGGGAGATGGAGCTCGTGGGCAACTTACAAAATCGGGCGAGACTGGAAATCTTCCTGGCTCATCCTCTCAGACTGGCGGAGTTTCAGGATCTCGGTGTAGCTCAGGTTCTGCAGCTTGCTCTTGAACTGGTCCAGGGAGCTAGGCTTGCTTGTAAGAGCTCTCATAACCTGCTCCTTCACCACCTGCATTACCTGTGGAGGAAAGGAAGACCAGGATGTTCTGGGCTCAACCGCGCCCATTCAGAAGTCTCCCAGCTCCCCGCCTCCGCGAACCCCTTTGCGCACACCCTCACCCCAACCCTGCACGCGCCTCCCCGAAGAGAGCACCCCCACCGGTATGTTCATCTTCCATTTCCTTTCGCAGCGTGGGACCCACCGGAGGAGATGGGTTTGGGAGTGGGGTAGAGGGGCACGGCGTGGGAGTGCTGCGCTGGACCCCAAAGCACAGGGCTGCTGCGAGCCGACACTATGAACCATGCACGGCGCGGGAACGAAGGGGGTCCCACCGATGGCTGGCCATCTGCAGGGGCACTGTTTTCCCAGGAGAGAATCGCTGAGACACATGCTCGGGAAGTGTGGTGGACGCCCGTTCAAAGGATCGGAACCGCCCTCCAGCCCCGCCCTCCAGCCCCGCCCTCCAGCCCTGCCCTCCTGGAATGCTTGTCCCAGCAGTGAAAGCCGAGTGTTCTACAAATGATCCATTTGGGAATGTGCCCCTGGCACGGCCTCTTGGAGGTCTAGTCAGCTAGAATGGACATGTCCCGTTGGAAACCTCTGGTCAAAAGAAGATCTGGTAGTTTGCTGCCCCAGGACAGATCCAGCCCGAAGGAGGCGGTTAACCAGGTCTCTGTCACTGTGGCCTCATCTTCATCAGGACAGAGAAAGCAGGAGAAGACCAGAAGACACAGAGGCATCCAAGAGGCTCACAGCAATCTTGCTGCTGCTGCTTTTATTGTAACCTTCCGCTACAGATGAGAACCACAGCTGTTACTGTTCAGGGAGCCACCAGGCACCAGAGACGACGGTAGGTGCTTTAAACATGTTCCCTCTCTTAACCCACTCAGATGTATGCGGTAGATACTATCAACATTACATTTACACAGGAAGGAACTGAGGCTTCGAACGAAACAGTAAGTTAATAGTTCCAAGTCATAGAGCTGGTTGGTAGGTGGCTGAGCTGGGACTGAGACCCAGGATGGAAACTACGATCCTGCCGCCCATGCTATGGTTCTTGGGGTGGTTCAGGCGCTTAAAAAGTAGGAGAAAATCACGTCAGGTCCGCTGGAAGCCACTTTCTGTGCCAGGCCCTCTGCTGCTCACCACCTCGTTTCGAGAAGGTGTTACCACTATTTTCAAGATACGGAAACAGACCGAGAAGGCTCGAGGACTTGTCCAAGGTCACACATATCTAGTTGAACCTGAAGACACCCGTGGCCCAGCGTGGTGGACGGAGCAGGCACTTGACAGGAGCAGCCCTGAGGGGGCGCTCAGCCTCTGTCACGACAGCTGTGATCCCAGGGCACTACTACGGCTTCCCGTCATTGCTCATTCAGGAACTCCTGTACGGCAGGTCCTCAGCCACTGCTCACTCACTAGTCCCACCAAGATGCCACTTTCATGAAACCTGATTGTCATCGAGGTGACAAACACTGGCAAACCAGGGCTCCCAGCTCTGCCTGACTGCTAGGTGGGGGGGGGGCTCTGCCTCAGCAACGAGCAGGCAGCTGACATGTGCTTCCAACACCTGACAGCTCCCTGCACCGGCTGAGCTCTGCTGGCGTCGCCTCCTCCCTCGAACGGGGCAGGTCGCCAAGCTCTGTGCTCAGGTTTCTTCTCCGCGTGCACACCTCTTATTCACCCAAAGACTTTCCAGTGATCTGAAGGGGTCTCAGGGGCGCTGGGAGGCAGAGCAGGAAAGCGAATCTTCCTTGACAACAAAACTAAAACCTATTCCCCATCAGGCCGAAGGGCACCCACGGGCCCATGAGTCCCCTCGCCCAGGACGCCAGGCAGCTTCACTCGTTAGTCATCTGCATGCCCACTGCTCCCAGGAATCCCTTGTCCACTGAAAAGGGCTGAGCCAAGGGCAAGGTGAGTCACAGGTACCTAGAGGGAAAACAACCTGTTTTCGAGTGCTGTCCACCCTCCTTCTGCCTGATACGCTTCTGACTTTTAGGAAGCCAAGTCCTCAGTACGACTATCCTCTGTGAGGTCACAGATGGCATTTTCATAGGGGCTTCCTAGGAGGTGACATCTTATCCCCAAAATGCATCTAATGGCAGCAACCTCATGAAACTACAGGAGACAAGTTGAGAGATGACAGATCTATCCATCCACTCACGGATTTGCTCCACCCAGTGGGTGCCGTCGCCCTCGGAGGTGATGCACGCCACGCCTGTCCTGGGATGTGGCTCCCGTGACAGCCGTGGACTGAACACCTGAAGGCAGCTGGCCTCCAGACCCTGCCCCCTGGGAGTTTCCAGGCCACGGCAGGGTTGCTCCCCGAGTCTAACTCAGCTGGCCACCAGCTTACATTAATCAAACTGTATTGACGGAAATGATAAAGAAACATTTTCTTGAGAAGCATTATTTGTGAAGTCCACACAGCAAACGTTCCTGAGCACTTATCATGCGTCTACACTGGACACTTAGAGGTAAATCAAGCGTGGCGCTTGCCTTCTGCGAACCACTGTTCTGATGCGTGAGCTAGACGCCAGCTAAGACCTTTACAGCGGAGATGTGGGCCAGATGGAGAAGGACTGAGGGACCCGCTTGGCAGGTGGGGAGGCTTTTTGGAGAAGAAGACGTGATCCGGCGTTACAGAAACAACGTGTGTCCACCGCGTGGAAACGGATGAACAATCCGAACACGCCTACCCATTAGCCACGTCGAACCCGCGCTGCTTCTGGAACCAGTTGCGTAGTCATTGTTTTGTGTCCCCAGCACGGTGGCCTGAGGCACATTTCCAATCTCTGTTTTATTTTTTCACTCAGGCAACATGGAGCTGACATCGTGACCATCCTAGGCCATGCACTTGAAACTGTGGTCGAATCTGTGAAGACTGACCTACGACACTTTGCTGTTTCATGGGAGGGGCACCTTGGGCGCTGCCCCCACCCAAGAGAAACCCAGAGCTGAGTCAAGCAGAGCGCTATCATCTCCCGCGTCATGTGACCTCTGGCAGGAGGGGGGACAAATAACAGAGATACAGCCATTAGAATACCAGAAAAGAAAAAGTTATTTTAAATAACATCAGGTTAAAGTTGGGGGCGTTTTAAGGGCTCATCTCCACTTCCCACAGTTTACAGAGGAGAACATCAAAGCTCAGAGGGCCGGGTGATTCCCTAGTGTGTGTGGCTCCCTAAGGGGCCGTCACAGGAATGATCATCACCAGGCCACCTCTACTGACCGATCAGCACCCTTCCCCAGACTTCTCCTGCTGGACCCGGGGCAGAGCTGAAGCCAGCTCCTGGCCCCTCACACTGAGACCCACAAGAGTGTCCCTTACTCTGCAGGACAGTGGAAGATGATGAGATCGCGTCCGGCAGAACCAGCCAGAGGAAAGGCAGACGTGTGTGTAAGAGTGTTAAACATGGTTGAGCCGTGTTCGCCCACACAGTCAGTCCAGCCCTGGCATTTGGTGGTTTGAATGGGATCCTTATCGCTTGCAAGCAGAAGTCCCTACAAAAACAACGAAGGCCAAGAGGATACAAGCTCGGGGGGCGGAGGCTGCCAGGCTCCAGGAGAAGTGCACGCAGGAAGCTGGGTAGAAAGAACACGGCTCCCTCAGTAAGAAATAACTAGAAGATCATCCTCATTCTCTCCTCGTAGCTGTGCCTTGGCATGGACGTGATGCTAATCCCTCACGCAGCTCTTCTGTCTTACGCTCCAAGTCCACGTAAGAGCGCCATTGCTCCAGCGTTAGACTTTGATCCCTGCTGGATGCAAGAACCCATGAGTGGGACAACTTTTAAGTTCCCCACCAGCACTTACACTTCAGTTTGAAGACAATATAGACTGTTTCCTAAGAGCAGGTTGACAGGATGAGGGGGGAGGCGCCCCAGGGATGCCAGTGGTGAGGACACAGCACAGAATACAAGTTTGCTAGAACCCAAGACCGGCTTCGTATACTTCACGGTTTGCTTGGTCCTGGCCCCAGGAAGCGCTATGATCACTCTGTGCCAAGAAAAATAACCTAGCGAGAGGTGTCATTGATTTTTTTAAGAAGACAAAAGAGTTATATAGGTCAAATAGTCCTCCAGTCCTTTGCAGAGTGTCTTCTACAAGAGCTACAACGAGTGGCATCCAATCTCTGCTAACGCTCCCACATGTGTGATTTAAATCAAGACTCACAACCACCATCCTTAACTCAGTCCTCTTTGGAAAATATCAAACCTTTCATCGTTGTTTGAAAAGCCTACGGACGACGTGCGGAGGCACCCGCCAATCAGGGACCTTGAGCATTCTTAATGACAGCAGGCGCTCTGCCACAGACATCAAGGGAGCTGAGCTCTGGGCACCTGCACCCCCTGACCAGTCCCTCCGGGTGGGAAGGTGCCCGCGGTGTGCTTCTGGAGTTCCCCGAGCACGTGTTCTCAGACTTAACGTCACAAGTTACAAAAGAAGCCAGACCCCCAGGAGACCCTTTCCTTCAAATGGAGAAAACCTCTGGTCTCCTTGGAAGACTGGGTTCCCGGTGGAAGTACTGGGGATCCCTGAATAGACTCAAGCATGCTGGCACAGCTGGCCCTCGGTGTCCGCGGGAACTCACAGACACTCACGCGCCTCACACAAAGCGGCGTGGAAAGCACGCAGCCCGCCTGCCTGCGTGTCGACAGCTGTGCAGGGGATTCGGGCGCTCAGCGTCCAGGACCACTTCTGAGCCTTCGGAATGGCAGCTGTAGGACCCCTGTCCTATCACGCGGAATAAGCTAGGTCGTTATTGGCGTACCTGTCACCCCACCTAGACCAAACCCCAGAGGGCAGAACTGTTTCCCGTTGGTATTTGCGGACCATAGTACTTAAGGCATTCTCCTTCAGACCGCAATAGTGACCGATAGGTTCAATGCCGAAGATTCTTGGGCAAAGAACTGCAAGGCTGTTGAGCTTGTTTACAAAGCCTAAAGAATTAAGTCGGTGGCCTTGGCGTGGCGCCGTAGGGTTCCGAGGTGGTGCTGGGCTCCCTCCCAGGC